TTATTGGATTACACTGTTTTCTTTGGGGTTTTACAGCTGTGAGCCAATTATCTACAACAATTATAACAAATACATCTGTTGCACACAGACAGAGGCCAAAATGTGAAAACTAGTGATAGAAAACTGCTTTTAGATTTTCTGAGTGACTTTTTTGAGGTTTGAGAGTTAGGTAAGTTAAATCTGTGCCCGAAAACAAATCATGCATGCAAAACTGGTCTATTTTTCAGGACTCTATACATTTGCTAATTGAAATGGCGCCTCAACTATGTACTGTATCAGTCTGGAGCCCAGGTGTAAGGCCCCTAGGCTCCAGACTGGCCTCAGACACATTTTGATCCAACATGACAAACGGAAATGAAGAGAAAGTGCGTTATCTCCATTTGCTCGTTTTTCATTATTTGTATGTCGGCTGCGTTCCCCACGGCCTTACTAAGCAGATATTATGATAAAGTGCATCCTCCGTGTTTTTGCTGAGCTGCGTAAGCGGGCGGAAACTACCCACAATGCTCCTCGGCTCCTGTGTAAGCAAAGCGGCAAGGTGGATGTGTCCGTTTGAGGGCAGACTAAATATTTAATCAAGTTTCTGCTGGGTTTTTGGGAAATAGGTCAACGGAGGGTTCAATATAATCCGATGACATCTTGTGAACCAATTTTTTATTGCTTAAGCAAGAAACAAAAGCTATAACCTTAAAACAATACCTGGAGCATATTATTAAAATGTGAAAGACAAAGTACACATGAATTATAAATGTTCTTGTTTCCAGTTTGGCCGTAGTCGCGGTGATAAAGCTATTAATAAAGGCGGGTTGTACGGCCATAAATCAATACTGATTCATTTTACATGTTGCCTTGACAGTGACCTATGTGCTCGGGCCTATTTTTGCACTCTGGGGTCGCTATAGGCTTCAAACTCTCCCTGTAATACTGTTGAGATCCTGAGGGAATAAAAGTTCTGAAACGAAAGTAATATGTATTAAATAAATGTTTGAGAAAATGTATTTACAGTACTTGCTGGACAAATAAGGGCACCTGTATATAAACTGCACCAGCTTCATATATTATTTTATATATTAGATATTTTGTTCACATATAGGCCGCACTTGAGTATTAGCCTCAGGTGTTCATGTTGTTTCATGTCCTAACAACAGCAAAACAAATCTGATACACATGATTTAATAATGAGGGGTTTAAACACACTGTTGACTCATGATGATCAAAGCACTTTCATTAATTCAGTCTATTATGATCATCAACGTTCCTCTCATTCCTATTGAAATTCAAAAGTCAATAAACCCATAAACGCTGCTCCGACTATTGTCCTGATGACATAAAAACGTGTGTATTTCCTAACACTCTGCTATTCACATAAACACCAGGAAGCAGGAATGTGACAGGTCTGAGGATCTGCAGCTGATAGAGTTGTGTCCAAATCCCGTTCTAACAAAATAAAAATACATACATAATATACAGGCTGCAGGGTTCAAATAACTTGAAAAAAGTGGCGCCTTTTAGTCCGGGATCCTAGTAGTCCCCAAAAATTTTAACAGCACAGTACATAATGTAACAAATAGAAGTAAGTAATGTTTATTTATATAGCGCACTTTACAGACCAAGCTCACCCAAAGTGCTTTACAATGTTCAGAAATCAGATATTTTTCCAGTCTCTCCACACGGCGATGACCGAAGCGAGACGCCAGTCACACTGCCGCATCAAAGCCTCCAACCAATAACTATTCATTACATTACATTCATATCTATTGTACATGCTTTTAGTGGTAAGAGAAACTGGAGCACTCGGAGGAAACCTACGCAGACACGGGGAGAACATGTAAACTCCACTCAGAAAGGCCCTGTTCCGACCAAGATTCTTCTTGCTGAGAATCGAGAGTGCTATTCACTCAGCCACTAGTTAAAGCTGGGGTACCTACAGTATATTTGCACACAAGCCACAAGTCAGCTGTCATGTATTGGGGTTAAATAATATTGTACATGATTTGGTTGGAGTAGAAACGTGGCACATGAGATTTACTTTGTTAAAAAAGCAAGTGAAATCACACACACATTTCTCCAAAACTGTGAAAGTCGGTATAGCGAGGGACTGATGGAACCGTGTTTAAGTGAAGTTGTTAACAGGAACAGGCTGCTAATGTCCTGATGCAGATGTAATGAGATGCGGTTGTAAGATGTGTGTCTAACTGCTCCCAGAGGAGGAGGCCACTGCAGAGCTGTGGCACTCTCACTGCTCTGCCTTATCGCTTCTTCTCACTAACACTAACAACCGTGCCATTAATGGAATATCGACAAGGATTTTTTGCCATTTATCACCTACAAGATAAGAGAAGATACTCCTTGTGCGTGTGTCCATGTTCATTTTTCATCTCTCCATAAAGATTTTTAAGCATTATATGGTCCTGACAATTCAGTTGCTCTTCATTGGGTATTGTCGGTAGCTTATCAGATTTATCAGATTTCTTCCAGTTGTTGTGGCTTTGGGCAAGGCACTCTGTTGTGGCGGTGTGACTGCATACGTGCGATTGTGGTTAACCCCTTTCTAAACCGAAATTTTTCTCTAAAAGGCCTCTGAATTTCTGTACAAAAAAAAACAAATGGCTGAACTCTTTTTGATGGTAGAAGTCCTGTAATTTTGGTCTGAGATGACTTGTTTACTCTAATTACAAGTGGGAACATTCTCAAAGATCAAACTCCAAAGTTCACCTACATTTTCCATGGTACTGTGGTCCCTTGTTGAACGCAGGGGTTACGTTTAAAGAATAACCCGTGATAAGATAAAACCGTGAAGTGGCAGTTATATGTTTTAAGGCTGTAAAACCCCTCACCGCACACTTTACACAATTTTTTTTTTCTAACCACCTGAAGTGCGATCAGGGAGATATCAAACCCTCATATGTTCGTTATAGGCGTGAGCGCTGCTGCAGCTGTAAAAAGTTGTGCTTATACCGTATAATACAGCAGCAGAGGACAGGACAGAGGGTAACAGGAAGAGCACTGTAGACCTCTGAACCAATCACAGAGGGAGAAGCAGGAGCTAAAAAAGTACACTCTCCAATGAACCAACACCCAATGTGCCATGGAAAAAAGGGCTTTAGACTGGTTGTTAAAAAAAATTAAATATGCACTTTACTGTCCCCGTTGAGGAATTGTTGTAAATGCTGTGTCAAAGTGATTCAAATTAACTGAATAGCAAATGTGGCTTCATTAACACGTTTTTTTTACAGATTCAGATTTATTTGATTAGCTATTTGCAATAAAACCACAGTGGAATACATGTGCAAAGGTCCCCAGTGTGCTCCAGACAAGTACACAAATGACAACAGGCATTAAACTGCTTTTATTGGATATAATTTGACCTCTACATATTTTAAATCCTTTAAGAAGTGTAGTCCATTCCATACTATCGACACATCTAACATATTACTTCCTTCCATTCTATTTTTTTTTGTACATAGTTATGTCCTGCACAGACTATATTTTTAACCTTTGCTCACTTCTGTCTTTTTGCAGAATCTGAGTGACTATCTATTCCAAATGTATGTAATGTAAATTTCTCCAGTGTGAGATCAATAAAGTCTATCTTATCTTCTCTGTGAGTGCGAACCGACTCTGGGATTATAAAAAAAAACAACAAAGAAAGAAACCGAAAAAGATCCTTACTGTGCAAAAATCCCAGTAATGTCTCATCTAGTTCCAGCTCTGCAAAGTCCACAAATGTTTCTCCAACTCTCCCCTCCACCGCTGCTCAGTCACATCACTTCGAGAAAATCCCCCGGACTTTCAATAGAGAAGTCTGTTCAACCCAGGAGGCTGCTGGGAAAAGGTGTTTGCTCATTGGAAAGCCCGACTCTGTGGAGCGGTGGAGACTAAATGCTTTGAATAATTCAGACGCGCCGCTGCGGAGGCCGGACAGGACACATCACACTGCTCTAAATCAGTGTTAAGCACCCTGCAGCACCTCATTTCTCCCTGGTTTCACCCGCTGCAGCACCAAAACCCACGCTTTATACAGCTGGGGCCGAGCCGAGCCTAGCCGAGCCGAGCCGACCCCAAAGACAACTCTTTCAAAGATCTGGATGCATTGCGGGAGAATATTCCAAAATCTTCAGTCTTTTTTCCTTCTCAAAGGGCTGCAGATTGAATAATTTACCAGCTCTTTTCTTCATTAAAGACAAGAATATGCAACTGGTGTCTGTGGGCTATAGACTGGGCATATTAAAGCTCGGGTACCTAACTCTCACCCCACATAACATTGACCCTGCGTTATACAATTCATTTATCACTAGTTTTTATATGCTACATGCCTCTGTCACATCTGCTTTTTTATTATTTATTTATTTCTAGGAAGTAAGTGGGCATAGAAATAATTAGTACAAAATTAACCACAAACAACTTAGGTACATTTACAAAATATAACAAAAAGAGTAATAATTGTAACGTAGCATGTGGCTTTATCAGACAGATTTTTTTTTTTTTTTTTAATGATTAAGGATAATGTGCAGTTGGATTGTCCTTAATGAATTAAACCTCATAATTCAAGAGTCATATAGTGACTAACAGGGCTCTTTCTTAATATGCAAATATGCAAAACACATTAGGCTTTTTTTCTGTTATACATGTATATAAAAACAAGTTAAGAGTAGTACAAATGAGGGACCCATGTGCTTATCTAATAACTATTTTCTCATCAATGTTGAATTCAGAATGAGTTAAGCATCCTCACTTGTTCATTTATCAGACAATCTCCAACTTGATGTTTTTGCCCTTATTTTAGGGCAAAAAGTGAAATCCGCAAAGTAGCAGCTCCATGTTTTAAGGCTATAACCTGCATCACCACACACTTTATGTGGCTGAAATGCGATCATGGATATAACAATATTTTGAATAAATATGATATATATTCAGTCTACTGTTTGCTTAACGGCATGATGTTAATATTGTCTTTAAAAAAAATATTGACTTAATATAAAAACCTAAATATGTTTCAGGCTGGCCGTTTCTTTGGAGAAGTGGACGGCTCGGTCATGGCCAATCTGCTCAAGATGGGCTTGTACAAGAAGTAAGACATTGCTCATAGTTATTTGATTATTTTTTTTCTATTTATGGTTTTAATCTGTTATATATATTTTCATTGTTTCATACTTGGTGGCGCTAAGGATAAGTTTTTTTTATTTTTTGCTTTTATATTTGTTTGCAGCACTTTGGAAACGTGATTGTTGTATAATTGGGCTATAAAGTGGATTGGATCATTTAGACTTCATTAAAGACTCATATGTAGGCACAGGAACCTTAGCTAACAGTATTAACGATATGGAGTCTTACTATAACCCTCAGTGCGACGTGGAATGTGTGCAAAGTATCCCTAACCCTAAATAAAGTGGATTCTGGGCCTTATTGTTGTTTTTCTGTGGTAGGGTTTTGTTGTTCGACTACCAGGCCATGTGTAAAAACAGCCATCACCATCACCACAGCAGCGCCAGGCCTCTCCTCAGCGTGAGTGGCAAAAGATCACCGGTGAAATCACAAGTTATGACATTTTATGAACTTCTCCTTGTTTTACAGCCTTTTTATGGCATCGTTGGATTGCTCAGATGGTTCTTCTCCAATGCACTAATGTGAGTACAGTAATGGCCGGACTATAAACCGCTACTTCTCTAAAAATCTCTTTGAACTGCGCTCTATAGATGTATCGTATATGTAGATATGTATTCTACTTTGTTAGAGCTCCCCCTAGTGTGCAGTTATGGGATTTTGGACCCAGCTGTGGATCTCCAGAGCTGTTGGCATAGCGCACGTTTCTGCATCCTGCTGTGTTTATGTGAACAGCAGAGAGTGGACAAAGGGAAGTGCAGGGAAATACACAGGACTAGTTTTACGTGATGAGGGTTAAAGGCAGAGCAGAGTTTGTTATTTTGATCATCACAAATCAACAGTGCGATTAAACACCTGATCATTTTGTGTCCAGTTAAAACAGTCTTTTATCTTTGTTTCAGTTGTTTATTTAGTGTTACATGAAAACCTGCGGCTTATACTCAAGTGCGGCTTATATGTAGGCAAAATGTGCATCTGTTATTATTTCAAAAAGGCATCACTAATGTTGGTTTCTCATCCAAAGGTTCCTTCTGGATTTTAACTTCTGCGGACTTTGGCATTCAGACTATTTTGTGGAAGGTAAGACTTTCTCAGAGCTGTCATGAAGTCCAGGGCCTCAGAGACAAAACTTTGGTCCAGACGTCTTTGAAATCTGTTTCCACCGACCACTTCAGGACAAACATGGGAGAACAGAGTTGAAAAATATACACAAAATAATTTAAAATCATACTTTAGTGGTGAACATTTTACAAACGTCACTTGAAATGAATGTCGTACTCATTTCAACTCTGAGGAATAGGGTGGAGGATTGTTTTGATATGACATATATACAGTATTTGTTTTTAAATTCAACTCGATTTAGTCTTCTCGAGAGGAATTTACAAAGTTGTTGCAAGAAAATCACAGTTCGAGCGCATACAGTGCAAAAATAACAAATACATATTCATTTACGTTATACTTTTTTATATCTATTTTGCATCATGAGCCAAAGTAAATCCCTAGTCTGTTTCTTCCTTGTTACTTACTTGTTATTTTATTTTTCTGACAGTGGGTGTAGAAATAGTAACAATAATAGTAATAATAGAAACTTTAGGGAGGCCCATATTTTTTATTTAGTAATTATTTTTAGTTTTATGTCTTTTGCTCGGTTATCTACACACACGCAAAAAAAAAAATCACAATTCTTGAAATGGAGTGGGTTAAAGAAAAAAACATTGTCCATTTGTGTTGGTGCTGTTAGCCAAACTAAAAATGCGTTCTTAAACTTGAGAGCTGCTGCACAACATTCTTACATTCACCATTTTCAATCCTTCTGTCCCCGTTTCAAATCATGTGTGTTGCTGTTGTTTTTGTCGGTCTATGTCCTGTGCCCTGTCCTCTCCTCCTCCATCATCATCATCATCCTCATCATCATCATCGTTACTGTGTCTGCGCTCGGTGCTTTGATCTTCATCTCATCGTGTCCAATCATCAGGCAAAGCGGGTTACCACACCAGTGAGTATACAGGACAGTAGGGGGCAGTAGAGAGTGTGAACAGTGCATGTGGATAACTGTGTGTGTGTGTGTGTGTGTGTGTGTGTGTGTGTGTGTGTGTGTGTGTGTGTGTGTGTGTGTGTGTGTGTGTGTGTGTGTGTGTGTGTGTGTGTGTGTGTGTGTGTGTGTGTGTGTGTGTGTGTGTGTGTGTGTGTGTTTATGTGTGTAGCTCATAAGCAGAAGAAGGTGGAGGCCTACATCCCGTGTGAGACAAATTACCCCGGCGTAATGTACGACCCCAGTGTGAAGGAAGCTAACAGCCTGATCAAGTGCGGACGCTGCCAGAAGTAAGACCCACTGCTACAAGTCGCCTTTAGTTTGCACTTAGGTTCCTTTTAGGCAAGGAAAGTATATACAGTAGGTCCCATTCCGTTTTGTCGTCTTCATTCACGCTTCTCGGGAATCACGCAGCTGCGTGAAAAATAGTACATCTTATCGCCACAAGGTGGCAGGCTAAGTCCACTTTAGCTCTGCCAGTGACTTAGACGCTCAGGTATAAGACTGCGTGCAAACCTGTCTAGCCCAGAGGTGCTATGTTGGCCCAATGGTTAGCATCAAAGACTGGGACCTGGAGAAACCAGGTTCGATTCTTGTCTGAGGCACATCTTTTGGTTGCTTGTGGCAAAATTGTTTTTTCATTAAACAATTATTATATAACATCTTGTCTTTAATGTCTGAAAAAATCTAGGTGAAATTCACTAGAATTTATTTAATATACATTAAATATTGTGATATGTTTTGATAAACCGAACGTTACGTTACATCCTCCGCTCAGTGAACGCACTGCCGTCTGGGCTCCGAGCGCGGACCATAGACACGCGGACTCACGTCTCTCTCTCTCTGCTCGCGTCTCTCTCTCTGCTCGCGTCTCTCTCTCTCTGCTCGCGTCTCTCTCTCTCTCTGCTCGCGTCTCTCTCTCTGCTCGCGTCTCTCTCTCTCTGCTCGCGTCTCTCTCTTTCTGCTCGCGTCTCTCTCTCTGCTCGCGTCCCTCTCTCTCTGCTCACGTCTCTCTCTCTGCTCGTGTCTCTCTCTCTCTGCTCACGTCTCTCTCTCTCTGCTTACGTCTCTCTCTCTGCTCGTGTCCCTCTCTCTCTGCTCACGTCTCTCTCTCTCTGCTCACGTCTCTCTCTCTGCTCGTGTCCCTCTCTCTCTGCTCACGTCTCTCTCTCTCTGCTCACGTCTCTCTCTCTCTGCTCACGTCTCTCTCTCTCTGCTCACGTCTCTCTCTCTCTGCTCACGTCTCTCTCTGCTCACGTCTCTCTCTGCTCACCTCTCTCTCTCTCTCTCTGCTCACCTCTCTCTCTCTCTGCTCACGCCTCTCTCTCTCTGCTCGCGTCTCTCTTCTGCTCACGTCTCTCTCTGCTCACGTCTCTCTCTCTCTGCTCACGTCTCTCTCTGCTCACCTCTCTCTCTCTCTCTCTCTGCTTCACCTCTCTCTCTCTCTCTCTGCTCACGCCTCTCTCTCTCTGCTCGCGTCTCTCTCTCTCTGCTCACGTCTCTCTCTCTCTGCTCGCGTCTCTCTCTGCTCACGTCTCTCTCTGCTCACGTCTCTCTCTCTCTGCTCACGTCTCTCTCTCTGCTCACGTCTCTCTCTCTCTCTGCTCGCGTCTCTCTCTCTCTGCTCACGTCTCTCTCTCTCTGCTCACGTCTCTCTCTGCTCACCTCTCTCTCTCTCTCTGCTCACGTCTCTCTCTCTCTGCTCACGTCTCTCTCTGCTCGCGTCTCTCTCTCTCTGCTCACCTCTCTCTCTCTCTCTCTGCTCGCGACAGTAATCTGAACTTAAAAAAGTAAGTTTTTACAGACTTGAAATTTCCAGTAACTTGAATTTAAACACTTAGTTGGCAGAACTTGGAAAACTTAACTGACACAACTTAATAAGTGTAGTTCTTCAAAACTTGAAGAATTAAGTTAATGCCTTCAACTCAAAAATCCTTCGCAGCTGGTTGCTTTGAAATTTTGAGTTGAACTAACTTTATCTTTTTTACAGTGTGCATGGACCAGAAGTCCAATTAAAATAATGGACAATTGCTCCTGCAGCCCTGAACAGGACATGCGAGGTGCGCGGGTCGGCCCGAAACCCGCAGTCAACCCGCGGGTCCCGCGGTTTCGGGCGGGTTGGATGCCTCAAAAATATGAGTCATGTCAGGTGCGGGTGGGTCGGGTCAGAAAGCTCCTGATCCCTATATAATATTATATATGTGAGCCACGGTATGGGAGTCCCTTGAGTACATTTGCAATCGCGCAGGGAGGCTGTTAAACAAAAAAATCATGCTGACAAACAGGATCGCTCCTTCCTGACTCCCCGCTTAAAGCCTCAGAACACTCCAGCCCGAGGACAGACGTGTGATCTACACAGAGGCACCGAGACTGATGACGGTGTGGGCCTCACAGCAGAGGCCTAAAGCAGGGGCCTCATTACTTTAATACTTACAGTCTGTGGTAAATACACGGGCTACATGTGGTACACGTGCTTAGACTATATTAATATTGTATGTGTAACATTCAAAATAGATTGAGTGAATATTCCCTTTTCCTCATTTAGTGATTTGCGGAGGAGAGGAGAGGAGCAGCGAGAGAAGTTTGGCAGTTGAAATAAATGAATTACAGCTTGCTAAATTATTTGAAAGCATCTTCATTATGATTGTTATATTTATGTATTTATTATAAATGTTAGAGATGCCAGAGAAAAGGCGTCTGCTTTTTTTCTGAGTGGGAGGAGACACCAGCGGAGCCAATAGTTTCTCTTTCCATAACGATATTCTCTCTTTTTGGAAAGATCACCAACGTGATGCAAAAGTTTACGTTATATGCAGTAGTTTTAATGTCTGCGGGTTATTCCAGAGACTGGCCTGCTACAAGGAGTTGCCCGTTTAAACCAGATTGTCGATGTGCGCGGGGCAGAAACTCGCCAATGTAACCCTGCTCACAAGTGCCACCTGGTGGTTGTTTTGGTCATTGCAACGTCACTGGGAGGGGGGAAAATAAAAGACGCGTGAATCACACGTGATTCTCGTGTGATTCACGCGTGAAAGGCGACAAAACGGAATGGGACCTACTGTATGCATACCACATTTCATACACAAGGCAACTCAAAGGGCTGAACAAAAAGAGTAAATATGAAACCCCTCAGTTGTATGCACAGCTAAACAGAACTGTTTTTAACCTGGATTTAAACATTGTCTTAGAAGAAGCCTGTCTTTCATTTGCAGGAAGACTGTTCCAGATTTTAGCCGCATGAATCTGAAACGCAGCCTCCCCATGTTTAGTCCTGACTCTGGGCACCAGCAGGAGGCCAGTCCCTGTGCTCCTCAGAGTCCGGGTCGGTTCATATGGGACTAACATGTTACAGACAGAGCTACTTTAAAGTCTATTCTCTGAGCAACAGGAAGCAATGTGATCATACTTCCATGTCATGTTTAAAGTTGGAGTATCTAGCTTTGAAACCACAAACAAAGAAGTCTGCAATAAAATCCATTTATGTTTTACGTGCATGTATAGTGTTATGAAATCTGACAGTATTATTAGTCTTTGTTACATCTTTAGACCTTTTTCACTACCACCAATCAGCTCTCAGTCCAAAGGGTCAAATAGTGACTGCAAAAAATAATAAAATATTCATTCTAACATACATTTTGACTGTCTGCAATTTTATTTTATGAACCCTTGCATTATTTTCTCATTCCAAGGGAGACAGTTCTTGTATCTTTTAAAAACAAGATAATTTTGCTCATCCCGTTGGCAAATACTGCTTTAAGGCAGTTAAAATGTGCTCAAGTTAAGATAAGCAATTTTGTACTTAAAACATTATTTTTTATCACTTTTTGCAGTGTGGCTTAGTCTGCTCTATGACATCCCAGCCCCTCACTGTTCTCAGATCTGTTTTTCTGCCCAAACGTCCCTCACTGTTCTGTGCTTGTGCTGCAGGATGTTCGTGGTGCAGCAGATCCCGGACAGTAACCTGGTGCTGGTGGTGACTCAGGCCGACTGCGACTGCTCCCGACAGTACGAGCCCATTCCTCTGCAGCCCAAAGAGATCAAATATATCCTTTCACCACAAACCCAACGCTCAGGCTCCACCGCTGCAACTGTCCTCAAGGGGGCAGCGTTGCACCAATACAGGGACGTTGGTCAATGGCTTCATCATAAAACAATTTGAAAAATACACTGCTCTCTTTAAAAGCCCAAAGAACAGTTACAGTGTTATTAATAACTTCAGCATTATACATTCTCAAACTTATATTTTTCATACAGCATCAAATCAAACAAGATATAGAAGTTCAACTTGAAAAATACAGTTTGAAAAGAGTTTGAACGAATCAAACACACACACCAAACAAACACACATACAGCACACAACACATGCACACACATTCTCTTACACAAACACAACACATGCACACACACAAACCAAACAAACACATGCACACACACAAACCAAACAAACAGATGCACACACACAAACCAAACACAACACACGCACACACACAAACCAAACAAACACATGCACACACACAAACCAAACAAACACATGCACACACACAAACCAAACAAACACATGCACACACACAAACCAAACAAACACATGCACACACACAAACCAAACAAACACGTGCACACACACAAACCAAACAAACACGTGCACACACACAAACCAAACAAACACATGCACACACACAAACCAAACAAACACATGCACACACACAAACCAAACAAACACATGCACACACACAAACCAAACAAACACGTGCACACACACAAACCAAACAAACACAACACATGCACACAAACCACACAAACACGTGCACACACACAAACCAAACAAACACATGCACACACACTTACACAACCAACACAACACATGCACACACACAAACCAAACAAACACGTGCACACACACAAACCAAACAAACACATGCACACCACACAACCAAACAAACACGTGCACACACACAAACCAAACAAACACATGCACACACACAAACCAACACAACACATGCACACACATTCTCTTACACAAACACAACACATGCACACACACAAACCAAACAAACACATGCACACACACAAACCAAACACAACACATGCACACACACAAACCAAACAAACACGTGCACACACACAAACCAAACAAACACATGCACACACACAAACCTTACACAAACACAAACACATGCACACACACACAAACAAACCAAACAACAACAAACACATGCACACACACAAACAAACAACACAACACCAAACACCACACACAACACATGCACACACACAAACCAACACAACACAATGCACACACACACAAACCAAACAAACACGTGCACACACACAAACCAAACAAACACATGCACACACATTCTCTTAACACACATTCTCAACACACAACACATGCACACACACAAACCAAACAAACACATGCACACACACAAACCAAACAAACACATGCACACACATTCTCTTACACAAACACAACACATGCACACACACAAACCAAACACAACACATGCACACACACAAACCAAACAAACACGTGCACACACACAAACCAAACAAACAGATGCACACACACAAACCAAACAAACACATGCACACACACAAACCAAACAAACACATGCACACACACAAACCAAACAAACACATGCACACACACAAACCAAACAAACACATGCACACACGCAAACCAAACAAACACGTGCACACACACAAACCAAACAAACACATGCACACACATTCTCTTACACAAACACAACACATGCACACACACAAACCAAACAAACACATGCACACACACAAACCAAACAAACACATGCACACACACAAACCAAACAAACACGTGCACACACACAAACCAAACAAACACATGCACACACATTCTCTTACACAAACACAACACATGCACACACACAAACCAAACAAACACATGCACACACACAAACCAAACACAACACATGCACACACACAAACCAAACAAACACGTGCACACACACAAACCAAACAAACAGATGCACACACACAAACCAAACAAACACATGCACACACACAAACCAAACACACACATGCACACACACAAACCAAACACAACACATGCACACACACAAACCAAACAAACAGATGCACACACACAAACCAAACAAACACATGCACACACACAAACCAAACAAACACATGCACACACATTCTCTTACACAAACACAACACATGCACACACACAAACCAAACAAACACATGCACACACACAAACCAAACAAACACATGCACACACATTCTCTTACACAAACACAACACATGCACACACACAAACCAAACAAACACATGCACACACACAAACCAAACACAACACATGCACACACACAAACCAAACAAACACGTGCACACACACAAACCAAACAAACAGATGCACACACACAAACCAAACAAACACATGCACACACACAAACCAAACAAACACATGCACACACACACCAAACAAACACGTGCACACACACACACACACACACACACACACACACATTTCTTACCATTCACCTTGAATCCTTATGTCTGGAAGTATGTATTTGTTAAATATTACAAAGCCCTTTACGTGTTTTAGAGCAGCGTTTTTCAACCAGTGGGCCATGGCACAGTGGTGTGCATTGAGATGTTTATTAGTGTGCCTTGGAAATAACCCAAATGTCACCTGCTTGGTTAAAAAAGTGTGAAAAGAAATTAATGTGAGACAATCAGGGTGACTTTTCTGTTTGATTTTGATAGATTTACCACAAAGACTCTGTTTGTTTCTGTGATAAAGTCTGAAGAGTTTAAATGTAGTCTCAGTTTCAGCTGGTGGTGCGCCATGAGATTGTTTTCAATGACAAAGGTTTGCCATGGCTTAAAAAGGGGAAATCCTTCACTCACTCATTACATAAACACCTGTTGGGAAACCGGAGCACCCGGAGGAAACCAGCACAGACATGGTAGAACAGGCGAACTCCACTCAGAAAGGCACAATATAATCATAATGAAGAAAGATCGTTGCACACTTTCCTTAACGCTGGTTCCACATAACGCCACGGTCAAATGCAGCAGGATGAAGTCACAGAAGATGCGACGGAGACCGGAGTCGTGCCACGCCTACCACCCCAAGGTCACTTCACACAACCACAATCTGTGTTTGTTTTTTTATTATTATCCCCCCTCTCCTTCTGTCCCCCCCACCCTCCCTCCCCCACCTTTTATGATGAAAACATACAATATTTCAGTCATAAAAAGAAGAAAATACCACAATTCGTTCAGAACTGTTCATACAAAAGGCAACTCAAAATGCTGAATAAAATAAGAGAAATATTAAAATCACATAAGGCAAAATGGCAAGACTTTATTTTGTTTATAAACTCAAGTTAGAATCATGTATCCCTTTCTTTTTTTGGGGGGGCGGGTGTCCTTTTGTTCTTTATATAGATGCTGCATGGATTCAACAACGGTTTTCTGTCGTTTGAACGCTGCAAAAAGTGATGAAAAATAAGTTTAAAATGGTCTAAATGTATATTCATCTGAGCACGTTTAGACTGAGCCTTAAAACTAGATTTACCGATGGGACAATGAGCAAAATGATCTTATTCTAAAAAGATACAATAAATATCTCTCTTGGAATGAGAAGATAAAGGCCCGGTTCTTCAAAAAAGACTTAATGGTTTTGTCCTAAGTCTTGTTTTAAGACAGAATGTGCCCAAACTAAGATACAAATCTCTGTTTGAGCATGTATTATTATCATTTGTAGTGAAATGTTGAATTATTTTGCACCGTTTTCCAATTGCCTTTGTTTTACTGAGAAATGTAAAAAAGTTGTGTTTCACGTTCACAAATAAAAACAACAAATGAAATGGAAATAGAATAGAAAATCCCTCAGTTTTTACCCTGGATTTGTGTCTTAACTGTTGATTCTCTGATCTGTGTTGGTGATTTCAATGGTTTTGTTAAGTCTCTGAGGTGATGCTGTTGTGATTTAGGGCTGTACAAGAATACATTGTATTGTATCATTGTATTCTATTTGCCATGTGCAGTAAAACCCCATTGGAATACATGTGCACCAGACGAGTACATGAATGAAACAGGGTTAAAAGTACAGAAATCGAACAAACTAAAAAAGTGAAGGAAACTATTGACTGTGTGAAATGGATCGACTAAAACCGTTTCAAACAAGTTATTTTATTCATGTATTTATTTAATATGGACATAACAGTAACAATGGACAGGCCAGACGCATTGCTGTTAGTGTTTTAGCACAGGTACGATTTTCAAGCCTAGTCCACCGCTTTTACATTACAGAAGATAAAATACATTTCAGAAAGATGCTTTGTTTGAACTGATAACTAATTGTGGAAAGAAAATGTTGGCGACCGAGGCAGGTATTCTCTTTTCCCCGGACAAACCTAAACTAAGAATGTTTCTATGGTGCAGGAAAACGCTAAAGACTGCGGCGGAGCCAACGCCATCTCCGCGTCTGTCTCCGTCTTCTCTGCGTCGCTGCTCGTCTCGCTGCTGCGACATCACTGGACATAACCCACAGACACGCCACAGCAGCCGGACGGTCCAGGGACTCGGGACGCCCCCCTCTGCTTGGGAACAGCCTCACCTCAACAGGAAAGGGCTAAACTTTGACTGAGCTCCGCTGCTGTGTGGAGAGAGGCCAGGGGGAAACAGCGGCCTCTGGTGGACGTAAGAGGCCGGTGCAGCTCCAGGAGACACGTTGCCATTTACACCAAGAATGTAGCATCTTTGTAGTTTTTGATACTTGTACATACGTAGAATTTTGCATTTATTTAAAAAACACGTTAAGACTTTTTATCATACTAAACTGACTGTATAAAAGTACACAGGTGTAAGTTTACTCAAGAAAATCTATTTCTTTAACAAGTCTGATGTTTACGACGGAGCAAAAGACTCATCTGAATATTTAGACTTTAATGTTGAATTATTATTTTAAGAAAAGTAGAAAAGTCATAATATTATAAGACTTTTTATTCCCGTATTTATTTATTATTCTCCAGTTTATTCTCCTATTTTTGCTGAATTTTTTGTACAATGAGAAAAAAGTCATAAAATTACAAGAATAAAGTTGTATTAGTTAGACTTTCTCAGACTTTGACTTTTTGATCATTATATTATGGTTTTATTCCCGTATTTTCTCAACTTTATTCTCATAGTTTTAAAGTCGAAATGTTGAGTTTATTCAAATGAGCCGTGTGCTCCGTTGTAAATGTTTTACCAAAATGTAAAAAAATTGAAAATAGCTGAAGAATTGTATTATATCACATGTTAAACAAATACAGAGTGGTTGCCTTTAAAGTGACAGTTTAGCGACGTGACTGTGCTAAAAGTGTTTCTCCAGCTGTTTTTTAGACGCTGAGAATCAAAATAAAGACCTTTGATTCATGTGATTTTCTTTGTCCGACCAAAAAGGTTTGATTTTACTTTTTATAATGAGGACAAAAACTTTTCATTTCATCAAAACAACAATCATATTTTTTTACTGTAATAGCACTATTCAAAACAGAGAACCGCAGAAGACAGAAGAGAATGGGCTGGATAAACAAGAATACAAGCTTTCAATTCAAAGTGTGTTTTTAGGAGTCAAGATCTGCTACTAAATATGCAGCACGTTCTGCAGCCGAGGGGCCTGTACGGAGGCCCGGTCCCCTCTGCTCTGGCGTCTGAACATTCTTAGGGGTATTGGGTGATCTTGGTCTGTAAAATGCGCATTGCTTACTTACTCTGGCTCTGGGGATAGTGAGCTTTCTGCCAGAGGTCGACTCATGGAGAGACTGGAGTTCTGGTAAATACTCAGGGATGCAAGAACGGCAGTATTTAGTACAATCTTATCATGAATTATAAATCAATGGGCTGTTTCTGTTATTATCAGTGTGATGTGTTCGCATCTGAACGAGCTGGAGGCGGTTGGTTGATTTTTACCAAAAGCAGGAGTTCAGAGTAGAAGGTAAAAAGGGGATCATTTGTTTGGTAAACCACACAGCCCCATTGCTTTTAACGGTTACTACTTTCCTCTTGATAAACTGCATAGTACTGTGTATTACTGTGATGTGAGGACTATATTCTACATTAATAATAACAATGCATTGGTTTTATACCGGAGGGGCTGGTGCTATGAGACTTGGGTGGCATCTCTGATTGCCACCCCCCTGACCCAGAAATGGATTAAAGGGTAGAAAATGGATGGATGGATGGATGGTTTTATACTGCGTTTCAGGACACTCAAAAAAGCTTCACATGTCACTATTCTTTCACTCTTCACACAGTGGGGAAAACTACTACTATATACTACTACTATAGCCACAGCTGCCCTGCGCACACAGACAGAAGCGAGGCAGCCAGTATGTGCCATTGGCCCCTCTGACCACCACCAACTATTCACGCAGACATTAGACTCATTCTCATTCTGAAGTGTCTTGACTGAGGTTACAAAAACAGTTTGGCACTTTACAGCTGCCTCACTGTCGCACTTGGTGTTCCCAGAGGTCTCCCATCACAGCACTAACCAGGCCCTGTCCTGTTTAGCATCAGAGGTCTAACGTCTTTTGGCTATCACATGCAAGTTTGACCGCACATTGATAAAACATGTGGATTTATGATAAAGCTGTTTCAACTACAGTTGAACCTGATGAAATCTCACACAACAAAGAGACAAAGTTAATCTTTTACTTGTTACATTGTACAAGGAGAATGTCTTGACAGAGGCAAGGCACAGACCCTAGCCTCTCTCAGGACAAGTCTGAAGATTCACAGTAAGTAAGTAAGTAAGTAAGCTTTATTTATATACCGCCTTTCACAGACCAGAGTCACAAAGCGGTTTACAATTGTTATTTTTTGGGCACTTGTCTCTCACTCCACACAGAGATGGGAGCGGGGCCAGTACAGGAGGCGCATGCCAGAACTATTGTACATATTTTTAGTGGTAGGGGAAACCGGAGTACCCGGAGGAAACCTACGCAGACACAGGGAGAACATGCAAACTCCACTCAGAAAGGCCCTGGTCCGGCCGGGATTCGAACCCAGGACCTTCTTGCTGAGAGGCGAGAGTGCTATCCACTCAGCCACCGTGCCGCCCAATATACATATACATATACATATACAGTCTGCAAGCCCCTTTTAGTAGAGCAAGACACACCTTCGTATGCAGATGGGAAAGGAAGAAACCAACACAACAAAAGACACTTAGCATATGAGCTCCCCAGACCTCCCGGTGTCTTCCTGAAGCTAAAGTGAATTAGAATACAGAGCATTCAGCACATAGCCACATATGATTTACCAAAATGATAACTTAAGTTACATTCCAATATCAATTTAGCAGAATGATCCTAGGAGCCAGTTCAACCTAAAGAGTAACGTCTTAGTAACACTTGAATAGTTCATTTTACAACAGATAAGTTTGACTTCAGCAAAATATTGGAAAGACCGACTATTTGCTCTTTACCAATTGTTTTGTGAAAAGACAGATATGTTAGTGCCATACAAAAAGTTTCACCCCTTCTCGAGTAAATTCATTCAAATGTGTGGCCAATAACAAAACATGAAGATTTAGAACAAGAAATACAACTTTTTGACCAAACTGAGATTTCAGTTTGAACTCTTCATATGTTTATAAAAGCTTATTCTAACTCATTGGTGTGAACAATGCCTCAACCATAAATAAAGTCGTGATACTGAAGATGGACCGTGTTCTAAGGTGAAGGACTTTACTGTCGACACCAGACCCTCTGTCAGGACCAGGGCTGGAGGAGTCCGTCTACAATGTGTTTTTAGTGCTAGAAGAAATCTAAACAGACGGAGGAGAGAAGCTGCAAACTCTTTTCAGAAAGTTCCCAGGACTTGAGAAAGGACGCAAACCACTCTGCCACAGTGTCTCCCAGTGAGGTTTTGCTCTTAATTTAATATATCACTAACTAAATTTATATTATCCATATCAGTGTTTTTTTTTTTTTATGAATTGACAAAAATATATTTCATTTTCAGTATTCACATTCTTTCTCATTCATATTTTTTAAAGTTGTCAGACGCAGTAGATTTCTGATGGAAAGAGGAAACAAGGACCTCGACAACCATCTCCAACCATATGTCTGAGTCACTGTATACAGCACGAAAAGAGCAACTCAAATCGGCAACTGTTTAAAGCACATTATGGACTGGGCCATCTCAGACCAGTGTAAAAGAGGGAACCAGGACTGGGACGAAGCAGACACCAGAGGCACTGAAGAGAACAAATACATCAGACCTACGGAAACGTGCCCCCCGGACGATAAACCGGGACAAAGGGGCTGTTTTACTCTCTCGCTCTTGGGATTCTGTCGGCAGATCAATAAAAAAAACTAAAATAATCAACTTGCATCTGCCAATCACATGGGGTGAGTTTATACATTTCTCCACAATAAGAAAACGTAGAAACATCAGAAGAGGTTTTATTAATTCATTCTTACTTTAAAGCATCAGGACAAATTTCTTATCAGTCAAAAACAATGGTGATAAAGCAGCTTCTTTGATAAACCAGTGATAATAAACGTCACTAAAATCCACTTTGTAAAAATACTCCGGACTCCGCTGCAGACCTGATATAAAATAAATACAAAAAAATATATAACTAAAAGGAATTGTCTTCATTCACGACATCACGGTCAGAACTGAAATGGGAAACGCTTTATTGTCTTAAGGCAACAGTGCAGCTCGAGTGACGGATCGGGACCAGGACTGCAGCTCCTGACACTGGACTCAATTATATCACCGATTTGAGACTGAAAAACTGCATCAAGAGCTCGCGTTGAGAAGCGGCTGATATAGCATCATCGGTACAGACGTAACTGATGATACAGACGTAAGTGATGATACAGACGTAACTGATGGGACGCACTTCACAGTAGTAGTGATTTAAAGCTGGGGTTCCTAAAATAATTTCATGAATGATGTGGTTTGCCTCAACAGAAAAGAGTAAAAGTAACATGTTGTGAAGAAACTATAAATCTCAATGTGGGCCTCTCAGAAGTTTCTCACTCTCTTTTCCCCCTTTTTTTGGTTTTGTTACCATTGCATTTCCTGTTTTCGAACTCTTTGATTCTCTGATCTGTTGTTGACGAATCCACAACTTTGTAAACTCCCGAGACGACTGCTGTGTGATTTAGGGCTACACCTGAATCCTTTACTGCACCTTGAACAAATCAGACCACAACACGCCGTCTCAATCTTTATGGAAAACATGTCCTCCTTTAACAAGATCAACAACAAAGATCCCTGTGAGTCCCTGGTTGACTTTTTGAGGCTGAGATCTGATTGGCCGAGAGAGGGTGGTCCTCTCTTTTTAACTTTTTCTGTCTGAAAAAAGGCTGAAGATGTGATAGAGTCCAAAACATACATGTGAAATTAGTGGTATATACGCAAACTGTTTGGAGAGCAAGGAACTATGGATAATCCGATGCGTTCGATTACAATAGTCAAATCTTAGGTGGTTTGAAAATTAGGTACCCCAGCTTTAATATGCACTGTGTAACATTATCGGAGGGTTCGCTGCCTGAGTCACTTAAACATGGGATGAACTTAAGCTTTGTGCTCTCCTCTGGTCAACTGGACGCGACACAGGGCATTAAAAATAAAAGACAAATACCTAATTTAGGGTCTAAAATTATCTAAAATGACCCAGGCCTGGTCAAGCTAGAAATAATCAAAAATATATATATATATATTTAGGGCATTTTTTCACTGTGGCGGGTCAATTTAACCCTTGGATAGCACAAGGCTGAATAATACTCTCCTCCTGCCTCTGTCTGCACACTCCGGCATCCGGCAAATTGAAATAAAATCCCGGGTTCTCACTTTCTCACACAAGTAGAAGAAGGACTCGGCTTTTTATACCACTCAACAATTCCACGAAAACCTCGAGGTGGCGAACTCCTCACTGTCTTTGTCCAATCTGTCGTATAAATAGAGAGCGCGTCTTCATAAATGGCTGCGGTTTAATGATGGTCCATGAAAGAGCAGTCTGAGGGTGATGTGTTTGTGTGTGTGCGTGTGTGTGTCCGGTCTCTATGCAGCCTGTTGCTTCTGGCCGGCCTCCTCGGTCTCCTCCACCGCTCCCCTCTCCTGGTTCCAGTCTCTGAGGCCCTCGGGTAAACTAGTGTCCTCCTCAAAGCTGCCCGTGCCTTCCACAAACTCCTCGTACGTGGACTTCTCCTCAAAGGGACGAGGGCCCAGCAGCTCCACCATGTCGCCTTTGTCCAGGACCTCCTGCTCCAGGAGACGCTTCCCCACCTGACCCACAAAACATGTCTTGGTCAATGGAAAAGTGACAAACAACAACATGGGAACAGCTTTTGCAGTGGGAGAGTATGCCATAATAAGTGGTTTTGAGTCAGTGCTACTGCTAAGCTAACCTGAATCCTTTACTTCACCAGGTACCAAACTTCAAAACAACAAAAAACTGAAGAATTTAACAAAGAAAATCCCTCTGTTGACCCACAGCCACACTCACACTTATATAATCTAGTTCTGAGTGTGTGTTTGTGAGAGATAAGTGTGAGTTTTTGTTTATGGTATTGTATGGTATTGTTATTGTACTGCTGTAGGGACTGCAGACAAAAATAATAACTGTGCAGCATTAATCTGGTGCAGAACATATCTGTCTTTGAAGCTAATGTTTCTGTGCACTGTCCCAGACTGAAGAGATAGAGTATCTATCCTCCTTAAACTAGTATTTAGTATTAAGTAGTATGGATGAATAGATTAGGATGATCCAGAGTGAGAACAATCCATGAATCCATATTACCATACTCAGTGTTGTGCGTGAACGAGTTCAAAAGAACGCGTTCATTGAACACGCTCATTTTTTTGTGAACGTTGAACTGAACGCAACACATTTTTTTAAAAAGAACTTGAACGTGAATTAGTTCATTTTATGTGTCATGAACGGCAGACATCACTATGAACGTTGAAATCAAAAAATTCCTACGGTTTCCACCGTCTGTGAACGCACCCCGACTCCGTGTTATGGTGCGGCGCTGTGAGCTGGTGCTTTTCACATGTGCCCGAGTCGTGATGAAAACACAGGGTGAGTTAGCGGCAAAGTTTACACCGTTTACATTTGACATAAAGTTTAGACACACGCACTGCAGCGCATTACTGTCTGTAGTGTATGAGCAGAGATGGGACAACTCCGTTTTGCTCCCATTGAAACCTTGTAAATCTTGTCTGTTTTGTAGTCAAAAGGCTCTCCTCCTGTGGGTGTACAGGAGATTATATAATATATATAGCTCGTAGTGTGAAAAAAATAGTATCTCACGAAAAGAGTAAAATGAACTGAACTTTGAACTAGTTCAGAATTAAAAATGTGAACTTTGAACGTGAACTGTTCACTTTGAGCATGTATGAACTGAACTTGAACTAGTTCAGAAAAGCTGTGAACTGGCACAACACTGACCATTCTGATCATTCTAATTCCAGTGTCAATTAAACAAGTGTTGATCCTTGTTCATTTTGTGCTTGTCTACATTCATGTCATATCTGTCTTTATAACTTTACCACATGGTTTAAACTCAGTCAGCAGAGTTTCAAACAGACCCATGTTGTATTTAGGCACCGCCCTCTGAGTCTGCTCACCATATCCACGCAGCTCCTCTTGTCCGTCACCAGCTCCAGAGTGCGCTGATACGCCCGATCCACCAGCTCCCTGACCTCCTGGTCGATGAGCTCGGCTGTGGCCTCGCTGTAGGGCTTCTCCAGGACCATCTCCCCCTGGCGCGGCAGGTCGAAGGACAGCTGGCCCACTTTGTCACTCATCCCGAACTGCACGATCTGCGGGTGACACACGAGACACGATCACGACCTTGGCATTTGGATGTTGGAAATATGATATTCCGTTTATGAGCGCTTCTGCAGTCGGGGTTTTCTTTTGGCTTTAGTCTCACGTAATAACTGCTTATTAAACGAGCGTGAGGTCTGTACAGAGAAATATCAGACCGCGGCCATTTTGCACCAAGTTCTGATATTTCTCTGTACAGACCGAGCAAGCAAGGTTAATACATGTTTTATTATATGATTATTTTTAATTTATGCAAATAATGATTGGTTTCAACTAAAAACACATGCAACCAAACTGTCTAATGGTGACATGGAGAACTTGCCCACTGTAAGTTCTCAATCTCTTCTGTGTGTTTACCAATGCTTTTTAGATATTTGTGAAGTATGTTCAAGTCCGACTTAGTTTTCCTAATCTTGTTTTTACCTTTCTGGTCTGTAACGAAGCTGTCAATCTCTTCTTGAGTGTTAGGAGTTGTGTTTTCGTCCTTATTTGTTGTGATTACTTCCTCTGGCTCTTCCAACTCGTCCGGATAATAGACTTCACTGGAGAATGCTACCAGTCGTCACTCATTATTTCTTTTTTACCAAGGAAAGATATCAAATCTGATACGCGCTGCGGACCAATTGTCATGGTAACGGTCCGAGATGGGAAAATATCAGACCGCAAATCAGCCAATCAGAGCGCGCGTAAGATCCAAGTCATAATAAATACAATTATTGACCGAGGGCTACGGTCGTCCTCTGAACTAATCACTGCGCTGCACACAAGGCACAAAAGTTTTCTTCTGACTTTAATAAAAGGCAGCTGTCATGCTATGCTAGCAGTTGTATGTTGTTGAAGTATACACGAGTTGAGAAGAACACAGTAAATACAAATCATGCACCCAAAAGTTGCACATAAAAGATTGATGAAAGAGCGAGGCCACAAAGATGAGGCGCTGCACAGGTGTGGTGTGCGTCTGACCTGAGCGTACGCAGACTGTGTGACCTTCTTCAGGTCGTCCTGGGCTCCGGTGGTGACTCGGCCGAAGAAGACCTGCTCGGCCACGCGTCCCCCCAGCATCATGCACATGCGGTCGAACAGCTGCTCCTTGCTGTACAGGTACTGCTCCCGCGGCAGGTACTGAGCGTAGCCCAGGCCCTTCCCCCGCGGGATGATGGACACCTGCACACAGCAACAGGACCAGTGTCTGCTTTAGTCAACCATTACTATTTTAGTATATTTTATATTTTCCAACTGTCTGTGCGCAAATAGGCTGCGTTCATGTTCGAGAATTCCATTTGTCGGAACAGGAGCCAATAAAAAAGCAATTTCAGAATGTCCTGTTCTTTTGCTAGATTATCATTTGATAGAGATTAGATTCACAAAGCCACATTTTGATGTCCAAAAAGTCCTTTCCACTGCACCACATAATACATGTTTCTTTAATATTGTCACCACTTTTTGACTCCTGAATGAGAAAATAATTACACCATAGTTGATATGTGCTGACAAAGAAGATGTGGAATGGTCATGGTCAACTTTATTGACATAGCACATATTTAAAATAGGTTTACCGCTCCCAAAGACACACAATAAACTATAAACATACCTTTACAACAGAAATGAAACTTTTGTCATTACAGGACTGTTATCACTGACTTTTGACTCCAACTTTTAGTGCTGATGTTATAATAGACTGGATTTACCAGAGCGCTTCCTCACAAGTCAACCTTGTTTTACTCCTTCATCTGTTGATTATGCGTGACATTACTACATGAAATGCTGCTTATTTTCACGTGTTGCCTATTAGTGGACACAATTGACTTAAATGTAGCTAGAGTGCAGTTCATATGCAGGTCTAAATATTCCAGAAAGTGCTGTAGCCCTAATTTAAATGTGATATTTTTTATACATTTAGGTTTTGTGGAGTAATCTAACCGCACCAAAATCTAAATAAGGCTCCGTGGTAGTTCATGCAGCCACCAACAGAAGTAGATCTTAGCGCATTACAGAAGTCTGACCCGAGCCCGTACCTTGAGTAGGGGGTCTGCGTGCTCCAGAAACCAGCCCACAATGGCGTGTCCTGCTTCGTGATAGGCCACGATCTTCTTTTCCGCAGGCTGTAGCACCTGAGTCTTCTTCTCCAGACCTGGACTCACACAATATTGTACACTTTTAAAGGGGACGTATAAGGCAAAATCGACTGAGCTTTTGACCACGTTACAGCTTTGTTTCCTCCTCAAAAACAGACCAGGAATTTTTTTTAGATCCAGCCGCGTTAATATCAGTAACACACACATGTAACCCGGCCCCTTCTGACTAAAAGCTCCATTCTCAGGCCACGTTTGTGTGATCTCGGAGACTCAGAATGTCAATCTTCCCACTCGGAAAAATTTAAATGATCGATGGTCAACTAAAAAATGTGATGCTGATACTTGAGCTTGAACTCGGGCTGAGTCAATGGTTCCCGAGTTTTTGTGTTATTTGTCATCGGCTCCTCATGGACGCTCTGCTTTTGGGAAGTCGGAAGGTTACGTAGAGATTTCAGAGTTTCTCAGATCACAACAACAACGTTAGTCCCGTATGATGCCGTTGCACTACTATGACATCACGCTCAGAACAGTTTTCAGCTTTAAAAATAGAAAGTATTGGCCATAATGTAGTGTTGACAATTTCTGCCATCTGATCACATCTTCATTTTCAAAATGGGAGAAAAAAAGCAGTCGGAGCAGTAGGAGCAGACGGAGCAGACGGAGCAGTAGGAGCAGACGGAGCAGACAGAACAGTAGGAGCAGTAGGAACAGTAGGAGCAGTAGGAGCAGATGGAGCAGACAGAACAGTAGGAGCAGTAGGAACAGAAGGAGCAGTAGGAACAGTAGGAGCAGTAGGAGCAGACAGAGCAGTAGGATCAGTCGGAGCAGACGGAGCAGTAGGAGCAGACGGAGCAGTAGGAGCAGACGGAGCAGTAGGAGCAGACGGAGCAGACGGAGCAGTAGGAGCAGACGGAGCAGTAGGAGCAGACAGAGCAGTAGGAGCAGATGGAGCAGTAGGAGCAGACAGAGCAGTAGGATCAGTAGGAGCAGACGGAGCAGTAGGAGCAGTAGGAGCAGACGGAGCAGACGGAGCAGACGGAGCAGTAGGAGCAGTAGGAGCAGACGGAGCAGTAGGAGCAGACGGAGCAGTAGGAGCAGACGGAGCAGACGGAGCAGACGGAGCAGACGGAGCAGTAGGAGCAGACGGAGCAGTAGGAGCAGTAGGAGCAGATGGAGCAGACGGAGCAGACGGAGCAGACGGAGCAGATGGAGCAGACGGAGCAGACCACTCACCTCCGATCACTCGGTCGATGGCCTGTTCGAAGTGTTTTCCGTTGACGGAGGTGTTGAGGTGGCGGGCGGCGATCAGGGCGGCCTCGTTACACACGTTGGCAATGTCAGCTCCTGACCACACACACACACAGGATACAATCAACACACAACATGGCACATACAGTGTAAGGTCTACAATGTTGGATTTACAGCGGGCAAAGTTCTCCGTCAAAAAGATTATTTGTGTGTCTGCGCAATGTGTGTGTGCATCATAGACTGTATATATTAACGGACAGAGTCACGTCTATCTCTGCCGTTCTAACTAATGGGGCAAAAAATGTGCTCTACTGGAGAAATCCAAAATGGCCACGAGTGGTCCCGCCCACAAGAAAATTGTGAAAAAACGCATCTGCGCATGCGTCAGCCGGCGCAACTCCATTCATTTGAACAAGAGACTTCAAAAATTTACAGCAAGTAAACTAGAGTGGACCAAAAAAATCCACCCCCCTCAGCATTGACACACATGTGGAACGGAGCTTTGGGCCAAAGGCCAACTTTTGGACCATCCTGTAAAGACGTTTTTGAGAGGTCTGCCAATGCTATTTGTTAGCATTGGCTAATTCTACTTCTGGGTCCACCCCCATCGGCCCGGGGTGGTATTGCAAGCATGTCAGCGCATGTCATTTTGGCCACTTTTGAGCTGGGACCCTCCCCCACTGGTGTGTATGCGCAATTTATGTGTGCGAGTGCACAATTTCTCTTTTTATTTACTTCAAAGATAACCCAAAATATCTCAAAAAGCACAGATCTCCACCAAGATTTTCATTCCATTAAAGAAATCCAGCATAATAAATAATGGTGTGTAAACCGTCTCTCTTCTAAGCCTGTAGGGGGCGTCTCAGCACAAACAATCCTTAAAATAGACACTTTTCTTTACAAACCAAGCTTTGAATCACGTGACAACAGTAGCGCCTAAGAACCTGAGAATTACGGTTCTTCTTTTGGCAAAGGTAACTAAAATTGACAAAATGTTAGTTACATCACATTTTTCAGCAGAGACGTGATAAACACAGGGAGTCACCTGTGAAGCCGGGCGTAGCAGCGGCCATCTTGCGGGCCAGCGCGTCCTTGTCCAGGTTGGGGTCCAGTTTGATTGGTCGCAGGTGGACTTTGAAGATGGACGCTCGGCCCTTGATGTCGGGAGGCCCGATGAAGATCTGCCGGTCGAAGCGGCCCGGCCTCATCAGTGCCGGGTCCAGGATGTCCGGACGGTTGGTTCCAGCCAAAACCACCACATTTGTAGCAGTGTTGAAACCTGGGGGTGGAGAAAACAAGTAAAAGGTCTGGGTTAAAAATAAAAATAAAATACCAAACCAAATCCTTCTGGACTCTAACAGTGAAGCTGTTGAACACATACTCATCAAATCATGTTGTGATTTACATTATCTGCTACATTACAACATGAAAACCAGCGCCTTATATTCAAGTGTGGCCTAGATGTGGACAAAAAAAATTATTTTCTTTAAATGTAGGTGGTGCGGCTTATAGACAGGTGCGCCTTATAGTCCAGAAAGTACGGTCATAAAACTGCAGAGGTTTGTGTACCGTCCATTTCCACCAGCAGTTGGTTCAGAGTGTTCTCTTGTTCACTCTGACCCCCGAAGTTGCCCCCTCCCCTCTTCCTCCCGACAGCATCAATCTCATCGATGAAGAGGATACAGGGAGCGTTCTTCCTGGCCATCGCAAACATGTCCCTGACCTGGACAACAGGACGGAGAAGGTCAAACTATCACCTTTAGATCTGAGACGTAATCTACTAAAAACAACTGATAACTGATTTCATTCACTCACCCGAGCCGGCCCCACTCCCACAAACATCTCCAGGAACTCTGACCCATTGACGGTGATGAAGGGGACGTTGGCCTCTCCAGCTGTGGCTTTAGCCAAGAGGGTCTTCCCTGTACCAGGAGGACCGGACAATACTGCCCCCTAGAACGGCAACAGCAAAGTCATCCATAATCTCACAGGAGACTAGGGGTGTGACTATATATCGAGTTTGATATATCGCGATACTTTCTCCCGCGATTCGATTATCGATATGCATTTGCCAAATATCAATATTGATTTTTTTTTTCAATACTTAAAGGAGCAATATGTAATATTTGCATGTCAAGTCATCATTAAATGACCCGAATATTTCAAAAGGCGTTATTAAATCATACTCTTTTCGAATTCATCTTTAACTGATAATAGTAGTTCAGCCGAGATATTTGATTATCAAAATTAGTTTTACGACCCGTAAAAGTTGTTATTGTTTTGATTTTGATGTCCTACCCTCCGCCGTTTCGCCAATCAGGAAGTGTCATGTAAGTCCGTGATCGGGTTGCCAGAACTCTGCGCGGCTCATTAATCTCAGTGGTAAAATAACATGTGGCGCAGAACTAAAAAAGGTGTTGTTATGACTCTCAAATCATTAATGACAAAACAAAGACTAAAACGAGGATTTATATCGGGATGCCTTTGAACAATTGAGACAGCTGATAAAAGTTCACGTGTGATGCAGAATTTTTTAGTCTTCACAGTGTCTCATTCGTGTGAATCGGTGGTCTAGTGGTCTAAACTGTGCGCTTACGATGCAGGAACCCGGGTTCGATCCCGGGCTATGTCTTTTTGTATTTATTGCATGTTATCACATTCTATGACAAATTGCTCTAAAAACGGTAAAAGATGAAGGTCAAGACGTTTTTTTGCAGATTATAGCTTAATTGTAAAAATAATCATTTAAGACCACATGTACCCCAATTAAAATAATGTTAGTCTCTTTTTGATGTGGAACTTTTACATGTTTGTCTAAAAAATAGGGAATAAATAAAATTGAAAGGTGATATCCTCTTGAGCAAACCCTGATGTTGATACGCTGAAGAAATACGTTCCAACATCCATTCTTCCCACTCCTATTTTGGACATCAATTGCTTATTTATTTTGCATAAACTATGTATAATTACATTGCTTTTATTTTGTTTTTGTTTTTTATCTCAAATGTCCAAATAATAATAATAAAAAAACATTAATCAAAACATTCATTCAGCATTAGCACGGCTGTCATGGCAATGTGAATGGAGACGGACAAACAACTGATAAAATAATAATTCCCTGTGTTTGCTGCTGGATTTGGTGTGAATCTGGCAACCTGAGTCAGGGAGAGTGGGAGAGGACTACAAAATATTGACTGTGACTGCAGTACCACTTTTGGCCAGATTTTTACATATTGTTCCTTTAATATATGGCTAAATTACGCATCTCCGTTCCATTTATCATGAAATAAAGTGTATTTTTTCTTTTATTTATGCCATAAATTGGCATATTGTATATTTCTGACCAATATATCAATAATCGTCATATCGTGATAAAATCGTTATTGTGATATCGTTATCGTGAGCTTTGTATCGTGTATCGTATCGTCAGGTACTCTTAGGTTCCCACCCCTACAGGAGACATAACAATACTATCATTTTCTAGTTATTGAGATTGTTTATGTGCAAAAGGCGCCCCCTGGAAGGTTAAAGATGCAGTCAGTGATTTTTTCCAGATTCCAGATTTTTTTTAATATTGTGGGAAAACGGCCCTTAACCCTAAAAGTAGTCAAGTTATCATGTGTTTTCAAACAGTAATGGAATTGACCAGATGCCTCTAGTCTCCAAAAATTAATTAAAATATTTTGGAGCGGACCGATAAAAATAAACCAATGGGATTCGTTCATCCCCAACAAACCAATGGGATGCGTTTACCCCCTTCACCATCTTCCTGTTTTTCCCGAGTGCACGCACCCGAGTTATCGGATTTTCTAAAACCTAAAATGGCTGAACAGAAAAGGCCAATTTCACGTTTGCCGCCCACTCTCCCTGTTGTGACAAAGAAAAAAAATGCTGGATGTTTGGTTTGGTGGGAAGGCGAGGGGAGGGGGGTCTTGAGGCAAGTGCCTGTTATAAAAGGCTGTCGTATTGTCATTGAGCTCTGGGTCTTAATAGAATCTTGGAATGTGGTCTCTAGCACTGAGAATGTTTGTTTATGCTATTATTGTATAGTAGTAGTTATTCAATCATTAAAAGCTCAAACTCAAAAGATTTTTATGTGCCCACAAATTAAACGCTAGCATCCTCAGAGATTCTTGTGCAGCTCTGGTTACGTGTGAAAATTTGCAGCTTGCATTTAACTGCGTTCTATATACAGTATGTACAAAGTCTATTTTTCCATTCAAATGAAAATGGAAATAAACACACGAGAAGTACAGTAATTATAAGTATGAATGCTGCTTCTGCTATAGTATTACCACAATCATAAGTTTTGATTAGTTATATGAGGAAGTCAGGACAAAAAAAAAAAAAAAGATACTAAATTAACATTGTTTTGGCGACAGGAGAAGAGACCGGACCAGAGATCGGAGCAGAGACTCAAACACAGACAGAGGCAGAGACTAAAGCAGTGCACCTTGGGGATCTTGGCTCCCAGGTCCTGGTACTGCTGCGGGTTCTTCAGGAAGTTGACAAACTCCAGGATCTCCAGCTTGGCCTCCTCGCAGCCAGCCACGTCTTTGAACTTCACCTCGATGTTGTCCTTCATCATCTTGGCCGTGGACTCGCTCATGCTGAAGGGACCGCCCCTGCCCATGCCCGGGCCTCCCCCCATGGGCCCCCTCCGCAGCGTGAAGAGCAGGAAGCCAATGAGCAGCAGCGTGGGGACCATACTTATGAGGAAGGATCTAGGAGGAAACAGATTATTGTGTCTTAGTCATCGTTCTCCATGTTAGGTTTGAATGTGTCGAGGATGGAAGTGCTCGCTGATTCATAAACAAAGAAGCAGGTCAGATAGAAGGAGCGATAGAAGAAGAGTCCATTAAAGTTGGTACATTTCATAAAGCTTGTGCCATGATATATCCTTAATGCTTATTGATATAGAAGCAGAGACTGGAGCAGAGGCTGGAGCAGAGACTGGAGCAGGGACCAAAGCTGGAGCAGAGACTGGAGCAGAGACTGGAGCAGAGACTGGAGCAGAGACTGGAGCAGAGACTGGAGCAGAGACTGGAGCAGAGACTGGAGCAGAGACTGGAGCAGAGACTGGAGCAGAGACTGGAGCAGAGACTGGAGCAGAGACTGGAGCAGAGACTGGAGCAGAGACTGGAGCAGAGACTGGAGCAGAGACTGGAGCAGAGACTGGAGCAGAGACTGGAGCAGAGACTGGAGCAGAGACTGGAGCAGAGACTGGAGCAGAGACTGGAGCAGAGACTGGAGCAGAGACTGGAGCAGAGACTGGAGCAGGGACCAAAGCTGGAGCAGAGACTGGAGCAGAGACTGGAGCAGAGACTGGAGCAGAGACTGGAGCAGAGACTGGAGCAGAGACTGGAGCAGAGACTGGAGCAGAGACTGGAGCAGAGACTGGAGCAGAGACTGGAGCAGAGACTGGAGCAGAGACTGGAGCAGAGACTGGAGCAGAGACTACAGAGGCCCCGAGAGGCATGATTTTAATATCTCTCACATCTTCAAATGCTCAAAAAGGTTGATTGATCCAATTTAATGTATTACCAAATCCTAGTTGGGAGTGAATGTAATTATGTTTTTATAATTGTTTGTACACACATGTTAAATTTGGAGTGTGTGTGTGGGGCTCACCCGTCGCTCTCAGTGCTGTAGACCACAGCCGGCCGATGCGACGGCTCCAGACCCAGTCCAGAGTGAGCCGCCTCCAGGTTCCTCTCAAATGTGTCCACGCTCCCAATATTGAACCACACATAATTCTGAAGAAGCAGCAAAGAGAAGGTGTTATTGTGGAGATAAATAAAATGCAGCTTGAGTCATTGAAGTAGGGCTGGGCGATAAAACGATAACGATATATATCGCAATAGACATGTGTTTGATATCAATAGAGAATGGGGTCGATAGAATGTTCGATAGTTTAACTTAACTCCGTTAGGAAAAACAGGAAGAAAACACCGGAAGTAAAGCCGACTCATAAGCGCATGGCATTGTGGAGGATGTAGGCAGAGGCTTCTCGACCAATAACAGCCGAGCAGGAACCGCAAAACTTTCTGGGAAATGCAATAACAACAACCGCACCATGCGTAGCGTCCATGGATCTATAGCTCGTGTTTCAGTGCCGTGTCAATGGTTATGCACGTACGTGCGCGGAATAACATGTGCGGCGGCAGAGGCAGTGGACAGACCCGATGTATTCGGCGAAAGCAAGAGATGAACATGTGTGGCACAGAGAGCCGCACGGAGCGGTCACGGGGACACAAGACCCTCAAACAGCTAAACCAGGAGCTAAACCAGGAATAAAAAACCAGGATTAAACCAGGACTAACAACGAGGGACACAGTGTGAACATATTCCTCCAGCCTCATCGCCCCGTGACTGTAAACAAGGCTGCTACGGTTGGTTAGCCCACACGACAAATATATTTATTTAGGTTAAAAAAAATAAAACTCAATATATATCGTTATCGACCGATATGAATGACTTATATCGTGATATAGTTTTCAGCCATATCGCCCAGCCCTAGGTTGAAGCACAGATTAGGCTCTTTTTAATGTACAGAACTCAAAACAAAGCATTCTCTTACCGTGTCTGTGTCTCCTCCTGGTAACAATATTACTCGGACATATTGTTTATTTACAACTTCTAAACGCTCCACCTGTAGGGAAAAAAGATACGGTTCAAATGAAAGCGTTCACTAAATTAAATAGAGTAATTTACTTAAATAAAAAATAATTTTAAGATAAATGTACAGTGGTCTCTTTTTTTTTAATAACATTCTGCGTGCTTTTTTTACAATGCGCCGCTTGTATACTCCAACAACATCATATAATCGCTAGAATACCATGGATCATTACAAAACCCACCCTCCACCGTTTTACCAAACAGAAAGTCCATGATCCGGGTTACCAGAACTCACCGCATTGAGAAAATCCCACTGGTAAAGTAACATGTGGCCGCAGAACTAAAAAAGGTGTCGTTATGATTCTCAAATCATGAATGACAAAACAAAGGATAAAACTCGGATTTCCATCAGGGCCTTTGTGAAAAACGTGTTCGTTATAGATTTGTTGTTGACAAAACTCTTGTCTATTCAGTTATTAAGGTCCCAGCTGGATTCGTCTGCATATCTGGCAACCTGAGTAAGGGAGATTGCAGTACTACTTTTGGCCAGATTTTTACATATTGCTCCTTTAAGGTAAGAAATATATTGTATTGCATGAGCCACAAACACCTCTGCAAAATCTTTATTATGATATTTGATTTTCTTGGGGTAGGGAAGTTTTTGCTCACCAGTCCTCTGCCCAGGTAGCGGTGCACAAAGTCCTTCCAGCTGATTTCTCGCCCACTGTCTCTGAAGTAGAAGTATAACAGAGCTGAACTGACTCCAGTCACGACGAGGGCCATGTACCGGAAGTCCTTCTCATCCCACGGAAAGTCTCCCTGGAGAAACGTTTGAGTAAGGGCAGACAAGATAGAGCAAACTCATTGGGGAAGCAGAACTGATCAAACCTTTTGCATTCGGCTGTACCAGTCCTTCCCTCCTCCTTTCTTTCCTCGACCTCCACCTGATCCCCCTCCTCCTCCTGGGGCCCCACTTGGCTTCCCATCTAAAATGTAGGATTACAGAAATACATTGTAACAGAAAATAGACGGATAAATAAAACAAAAAGAAAGTTGTCTACCTTTAGGTTCTGTGGAGTAAAGTCGTCTCTGTGCCAATTGTAGTCTGCGGCGGGATAGGAAGTCAGCGCGATTTAGATAGAAGTTCTGGAAAAGAGGTGAGGTTACAAGAAAATAAAGCATTTTAGTTTCTAACTGGAACTTAGTAGGATAGGATGTGCAACAAGGTACATGTATCCATCTTCAAAGAAATTAACGATTATATTGATTAGTCAATTAGTACTTGGATCCCAAAAGTGAATATATGATTGTTATTTTGTTCTTCTTTATTTATATAGATACTATTCTTTATGTATATAGTTACGTGACGTGTTACACTGCAAAGTATAGTAACACAGAAATGTAACTGTCGATTTTCTCAGCGGATAAAACGGGTACTATATTGTGAGGCGTAGTAATCTGAGGAGCGCTACGTCCGCGCACTAACTTCTCTCCGGAGACTTCTCTCTCGCTCACTTCCGTCAATAGAAGCAGCGTGACTTGTAGTACACACAGTAGTAGCAGAGACTTATCGGATAGCTTGATGCTGCCTCAACTGTCCTCAAACTAGCTATCCGATAAGTAACACATCACGTAACTATATACATTTAATAGGGAACACTTGGAAGAGTTTGGTAGCTTCTAGCGGGAGCTACCTTTTGGGTACTATACAGTATACAGAGGAGGCTGCGTTTGTGCTCCCGTTTTTGCTCCGTTTGCATGACAGAGCGCACGGACTAAGACCAGACAGGTACATATTAACTAGTCTAAGGTAAGGTAAGAACATATGTCAGTATGTAAAAACGGTGAACTATTCCTTTAACAGTTTGAAAGAGCTTATGTAAATTATCACCAGATGCAAAAATATTCATATCATCAGCAAACAAGATAAATTTCAGTATTGTAGATGTTTTACTTATGTCGTTTATGTATAAATTAAACAGTTTTGGACCTAGAATGGAACCCTGAGGTAAACCACACACCATTTCTAAACAGCTTTATTGAAAATCACCCAGTTTCACATATTGCTTTCTGTTTTTTAGATAACTGTTAACCCACTGTAATGCCACCCCCCTGATCCCATTAGCGATCAAGCTTCTTAATATGTCATGGTTTATAGTGTCAAATGCTTTACTGAGGTCAAAAAATAGTCAAATTGCGGTTTTCTTATCGTCTATAGCGTTAGTAATTTCTTCAGTTATGTCAAACAGTGCATGTGAAGTTGAATGATTTTTTTCTGAAACCAAACCGATTGTCACAGAGTAAATTATTTTTTTCAATAAAGCTGTCGAGTCTGGAATTGAAAATGTTTTCAAAGACTTTGGAAAATTGTGGTAGAAGTGAAACAGGCCTATAGTTTGTAAATATATGTTTATCTCCGGATTTAAGCAGGGGAATGACTTTGGCTACTTTCATATGTTAAGGAAATTGTCCGGTGATAAATTGCAGATGTGTTTAAACGGCTTTAAACGGCTAAAAACACTCTTTAAGGTCCTCATGTCCAAGTCGCAGTAGTCGGTCGATGTTTTGTTTTTAAAGCTTCTAACTATATTTATTAACTCGTTTTCTTCTACAGGTTTCAAAAACAATGAACATGGGTTTGTTTCTATTTGGTCACAGGAGTCTTTCTCAACATCTGTAATGTTAGCAGCCAAGTTTGGACCAACATCAACAAAGAATTTATTAAACTCCTCAACAACTTCATTCATATTAATTATAGTTTTATCCTTATCTTTAAAATATTTTGGATAATTTATCATTGTTGGCTTAAAGTTTTTGTAGAGATAATTCTTTTTCTTACATGCGTTTAGTAATCCTTTCGTTATCCATGGGTTTTCTATGAGCTTTCTTTTTTTACTGTATTTTTTTACTGGACAATGTTTATCACATGCTTGTTGAAACACTTCCACAAACTCTTCATACGCCTTGTTACAATCACTCTCCAAATAAATATTGTACCAATCATTCATCAGTAGCTCATTTTTAAGTGCTTCAACTGTTTTCTCAGTTTTTACTCTTTTACACAGAAACATGTTTTCATAATTATTTTTTAAGTGGTCATTATCATACAGTACAAAGACAGGAAGGTGGTCGCTAATGTCATTTATCAAAAGTCCGCTGATTGTTTTACATTCTATATCGTTTGAGAAAATATTGTTTATTACTGTTGCACTGTGGGTTGTGATTCTGCTTGGTTTAGTGACCAATGGAAACAGTCCTAAGCTAAATAAAGTGTTTATAAAGTCGTCAGTTTTTTTATGTTTGTTTTGGTTTAATAAGTCAATATTGAAATCCCCCCCCCCCCACAAACGTAGACTTTTGACTGGAGCTGGTGAAATGCTCCTCCATCCAGTTAGAAAAAAAAAGTCTGAGCCAGGTGCTCTGTAAATACAACTAACAAGAATATTGTTATTTTTTTCACTTTTGATTTTAACCGTAAGACATTCTAAAATATCATCCACTGCCATTGTTTTATTTTCATTCACTTTGTAATTTAAATGTGAGTTAATGAACATAGCCACTCAGTCACTCAATATATGATTGTTATTTTCTCAATCATTATAGAATTATAACAAAACCTCTTTTCCTCAGCATGTTTAAGGTTCAAAAAACAATATCTCAATCATAAACCAAACCATCTTAATTTGTAAGTACTTTTTGATCACAATCAGGCCACACTTGAATAAAAGCCGCCGGTTTTCATTTTGTAATGTAACTTAATCAGCAGCTGATGTGGCAGAACAAAGCTGATACATGATTTAATGACAAGGCAATTTAGCACACTGTTAAAAGACAAGTGATGATCAACACTCAATCTAAAAAAAGTATTTTGGAAAGGCATCACATCCCTATTGAAACACACTGGGAAGCAGCAATGTGTGCAACACCATCCGGTCTGATGGTCAACAGCTGAGTGAGGAGGATATTTGGACACAGCTCTGACAAATAAAATACATATATTGGCTACATCACTCAATAGGCCACAGGGTTCAAATCACTTGAAATAAGAAGAGGCTTATAGTCCAGCAAGTGTAGGAAGTTAGTGACAAACTCCCAATAATCAATAAGTTGAGATTAATCAATTACCTTTTTCAGTTCTACTCCAAAGAGATAGAACGTGTATTTGAGAAAGCAACCAAACTAAAATTGAATAACTGTATGATAAATGCAACGATAGAATAACAGCTTGTAGACCAGACTCCCATAAGGGTAAGTTTCATAAGAAGCATGACTATACCTTCATCATCTTTCATCTAATAGAACATACACTACAAAAACTACATCAACCAGTGTTCTCTCAGTTTCTTATTCAGTTATTAAGTTATTAAGTTAAGATATTCGAACAGCTCTTTAGTTAGTACTGCTTTAAGTTGACATCACATTGATGACAACGTTGCGTCATAACGTAACACAACGTTATTATGGAGGTTACAAAATAATTATATTACATCTTTAACCAATAGTTACATCAATTCAATGAGGGATAATTTTAATATAGATATGATCAAAAACAAACACTGAAAAGTTGTGTGTTCTGATTAGGTAAGGTTTGCTACATAACTAGCATTAGCCTAGCATAGGTTAGCCGTGGCTATACTGAGCCACTATTCAAGCTGGTAGCTGATATTGTTGTTCACGTATATTTGGCTCAATGAATGCAGAGTTATATTTAAGTGTGGAGTTGTAGAACCGAAAGTTTCATGAGTATTGTTTGTTTTGGGTAACTCGACCTTGATGCAAGTGATTTTCGTAATAGGATTTGGTAACATGGTTTATCTAACAAACTCGCTAAATGTCTCAATAATAAAATACACATTCGAAGTGCAAGTCATCCTCACATCAATGCCGAATTACAGATGCTGTCAGTCCCATTCTAGAACTTACACCTACGCGCTGTGACCTCCGCTGTACTTACCCGGGCAAGGCTGCTCCTCAATCCGACCGAGGAGAGGCGACCCGCGGCCACAGCACAGAGGACTCCCCGGGCTCCTGCTACCCTGTGGAGGGGTAGAGCAGCCGCCGAGAGAAGCCTCAACAGCGGAGACATTCTCCCACAGCCTCCGACCGCAGATGTCTTCACAAATACTCTGTTTTATGTTTATTCCGCTCTGTCACGTCTCATCTTTGAACTGCGTGCAGTGTTATTGAACCAGAGCTGCAGCGTGTGAAATGTCAACGGGAATGACGTAAAACTAGTGGCCACATATGCCTGTTTTAAATGTTACACACAAAGAATTATTCTTAAATATAAGTATAATAATGATTTCTGAATAACTAAGTCACTAACACTATTTTTGCGTATACATTCAAGACCACATGTTACAATAAAATTACATTCTTTATTTAAAACAGGCAAATAACAGGCTGTCAAAAGGACGTTTTTTCCCCAACGTAGTTCTGCCAATGATTTATTATTACCATAACTGTTTACCTGTTCTTAAACCCAATGCTAAACTTAAAGTAAATTTGACCTGACTTTTTAAAATATATATTATATTGTTAAAAAACTATATACAAACACGTGCACATTTTGTAGTAAAGCCACAATCTAGGAATGACTACAGGCAAACTGTATTGGGGAGAAAAGCTAGCTTCCAGTTATCGCTTTCCTTACACTACTAACTTTAAAGTTGTGGGGCAAACAACCATGGATGTAAAAGTTAAGTAAAGGTCGTACAAAATCTATATTAATTTGTCCTTGTGAAGGATCCTTCCTCTACACAACAAAACCCAGTGGCTGCTTCTTGTTCTGTTTTGAACATGAATCGAGATCTAATTTGATGATGGCTAATAATTTGTTTTCTGTCGTTTGCAAAAAATCAGCTCCCTCTGTATGTACTGTATGAAAAGCGGCTCATGAGTAGAGGGATGTGAAATTTCTGGTCCGACTCCTTGATGGTGAAAACAACCTAAAAACAAACAACAAAAGTTAATAGAATGCAATAGGCCTTTAAAATATTTATTTAGCTGACCATAAAAAGTGATACAAACCTGGGACACAAAAGTTAACTGAACTACTTATTGTGTCATGACCATCTTGTATGTTGCATATTCATTTCACATATAGTATCTCAAACTTTCCTATACATTTTACAGATTGTCCTCTCCTCACCTCCACATAAGGGTAGAAGGAGGTCTGTCCGAGGCTGTCCCAGTACTCTCCCGTCTCAAAGCGCAGTTTGTATGTCCCTGGAGTGAAGCCTGCTTTGGAGATGAGTCCTGGACACCGGCCATCTGAGTTTGTAGTCCTGACAAACGGTTGCATATGGAATCTATTATTTATTAGCAAGTTACAAAATGTCTTATTGAATCCAGATCATCTAAAATCCTGTGGTAGACTAGTGGAATGATTGTATTATTTCACCAAGCATAACCTTTTCTATTTTAACTCATTATCTCAAGCCTAACAGTGGTCCCACCCGACTGTGATCAGGCTCCAGATCTTGGTGGTGGCCTCAAGGCGGTGTAGGCTGAGGGCCAAACGGGCGGCCGGGGCCCCGTCTGCGGTGTTGAGGACATGCGTGGTCAAAGGGCTGCTCACTGTTCCAGACATCACCACTGCTATCTCTTCAGCAACTTAAAACCTGCTTTGAATCCACCTGGGAAAATACATTTGAGATGTTTGCAAAATATATCAGAATGTTGGGCTATTGTGTCTTATCAAGTTGTTATGTGATGTGGAGAAATGTTGAATTTGTATCTTGACAAATAATAATCTATTGCATCTTACAACCTATAGGTAAGGCAGAACTTCACATATGAACAACAATAAACAGTGAAGAGCTGTTGTCGACCAAAGAAATGCTTGACCGACTTCAAACATTGCGAGTTGATCGATTGGTTGTCGACAGAGGGAGCAATACAATTATAATGGTTTCTGTCTGAATTACTTATATTGTAAACTCTACAGTACTAGAAAAGAAAACATTGGCTCATAATAAGAAAAATATATAAACTTGTGGCACCACCTGCATGTGAAAGCAAGATTTCTTCAGACCTGTGAAGCTAAGCAGGAGAGGGTCTGGTTTGTACTGTGATGGGAGACCTCTGGCCAGGGTGGAGCAGCTGTAAATTGTAAAGTGCTAAACTGTTGTTGTGTCCTTATACAAGACTCTTCACCCACATTGTCATACTCCTTGCATCTCTTCTGTCAGTTTGCCCCAGGGCAGCTGTGGCTACAATTGTAGTTAATAAAGACTGTGTATGGAGTGAATGAATAATTCCATGAAAGATACTTTAAAAAGTAAAATAAATGCCAAATCGTCATTGATTATTTGCTACATACTGTCTATTATCTGTTGATATACATTTTATCATTTGAATAATTGGCAGAATAATATATATTTTGGTCAACTAGGATGTTTTTGACCAATAAACAAACAGTTGTAGTTAAGTACACAATACTCTCACTGGTGTTTACCTTTTCTAATCTGATCCTGACAACACAAGGAAAAAGAATCATGCATCCAAAACTTTCTAATGTAGATAAAATACAGTAAACATGAGAAAATTACAATATAACAGTATGAAGACTTTACCTGTGTGTAACCAGCTCCGCTCTGCTTCTACAAGTCCATTCACTGACTCACCCAACCAGTAGTGTTTGTATCCTCCCCGCCTCCTTCTCCCAGACTCCCAGAATGCAACAGTGTGGCATGTGAAGGCAAAGTCTGAGTAAAATCACTGCAGTCAGGCACTCGGTCAACAGCATGTGACCTGTGTGTGTGGGGCCAGACAGAGCAGCTCGTTTTTACACATTCATTTTGATAAAGAGAGGTACACAGACTTTTGCTCAAGCTTTTTTGAAAGTCTTTTATCAAATTGTTTGGAGATTACAATGAGTTGTGTAAAATGTCATGTAATAAGTTTACTGGTGGAGAGTCCAGGAGTGAACATACAGAATGTGCACTGATCCCATCGAGTGAGCCGTGAATGATTAAAGAGTTGCACCATTCTGTCACGATAAAAGGATTCCAACTCTTTCTACATAAATAAAGCACTACATTAAATAAAGTTCTACATGAATAAAGTTCTTAAGGCTTTCATTTATTAATTCTGCACACAGCGATTATTGAGTGAACTTCTAGAGTAGACATGCCCAAATTGCGGCCCTCTGTGGTGCTTTATGAGGCCCTCTGCCTTGCAAACCTAAAGTAGTCTGTAAGATCCACTCCTCTCAACAGGAGAACTTGTATCTGTTTGTTGTTGCGTCACATAAATGTCAAAACAATGTTCTATTGATAATGCTCCATACACTGTGGTGCTAAACCAGGGGCGCTGAACTCATGTTGCTCAGGGGCCGATTGAAAGAAAGTAGGAACTGATCAGGAGCAGGAAGAATTTCCTTTTTTACAGTATGAAGGTATTTGGACATGACTTTTATTAGACATGAGTTTCACTGTTATTCTGGTTGATTTTTATGAAAACAAAATGTTTTAATTGTTTACATATAACCAGAACTGGTTGTTTTCCTAAGAAAACCAACTAAGGGGGCTAAAATAAACCTATCTTTAAGTCTGGGGAATAAAATGAATATATACAAAACTACAGACCTATATCCATCCTGCCCACCCTGTCTGAAATTTTGGAAAGAGTGGTGTATGTAAGATTAATGGATTATTTAAACAAAACATACTGGATTCTTCCCAATATGGCTTTAGGAAAAGCAGCAGCACGTGTATGGCCATTTTAGATCTTGTTGAAAAAATCAGCAATGCCCCTGAAGGTGGAGAAATGGCACTGGGGTTTTTCTTGACCTTCCTAAAGAATTTGTATACTAGGCCTCTTTTGTTTATTATCTATATTTAAGATAAGATAAGATATGCTTTATTTATCTCACAAAGGAGAAATTTACATGAATGATTTTGGTAATTCTTGTGATGTTCACAGAATACTTTTTGCAGATGACACAAATGTCTTTTTGTTGCATAAATGCACGGATCATCTTGAAAACTCAGAAACTAATGAAAGTAAATAACTGGTTCAGATTCAATAAATTGTCACTTAATCTCATCAAGACTTGAGATAAGATCAGTTAAGATATACTTTATTGAAAACTGGTTCAAACTAGTTTCTCCTGGACAAAACCATACAAATCAGACAAGGATTAATTTATACTTGCAAGGAGCACCTGCATGGTCACGGCACAACTCTGATTTTGGGTGCTGTGACAGCGCGTGCACTGAACTCCATTGTGTTACAGGAATAATTATTTAGACGACAAAACCACACCTACATCATGGGCACATTATTGTCGCGCCAAGGATTCCATATGGCCTAAACCATTAGTTTGTTGACACAGTTCAAACAGCTCCTGTGGACTCACCACCTGCAGGAGGATGAGTGAGGGGCTGGTGCTCTGTGTACTGGGTGCAGCTCTGACTGCCACCCCCCTAACCCAGAAATGGATTAAAGGGAAGAAAATGGATGGATGGATGGATGGATGGACGTTTCCAGTCTTATCACACGTTGAGAACCCAAAAATTGCACTTAGCTAACTACACTTCCCTTCACAACAACCCAACTATAGTGACAGATCAATCAATTAGTTTATTTCAAAACCTGCACAAACATTTTTTACAACGGTTCATCTTGTAAAGCACATGCATGGTTTGAAAAGGGGGTTGGCAGAAGCAGAAGCTTATTTATATCCAACCACCTCTCACACACTCTCTACAACGCAACCACAATGCAAAAACAAGAAATCACAAAAACAAAAAACAAAACAAGCAAAACAAAAAACAAATCTATATCCCCTTGGACTACCCCCACCGGTCAGGTAAAGTAGAGCATATACAATACTGTAGCGATACAACACACAACAAAACCAGACAGGACAACCAGGACAGGACAACCAGGACAGGACAAGACAGGACAGGACAGGACAGGACAGGACAGGACAAGACAGGACAGGACAGGACAGGACAGGACAGGACAAGACAGGACAAGACAGGACAGAACAGGACAAGACTCACTCGCTCAGACACTGGCCCCGGACGTTCTCCGACCACACACCACTCGCTCAATGCTCAGCTACTGCTCAGGGAATCATGCTCCCTCTTCTGCGTATTTCTGCAGTAATTCTTTTTTAAAGTATTTTTTAAACTTGGTCATGTTGGAGCATGATTTTAATGCTTCCGTTAAATCTTTCCAGATCTTCACTCCTCTGACTAGGACACACATTGATTTCAATGTTGTTCTCACTTTAGGGACATAAAATTGTTTGTTTCCTCTAAGCCTGTATCTATGATGGGCGTCTCTATCATGAAAAAGGTTTTGTATGTTTGCTGGCAGAGAGCTTTCAGATGCCCTGAACATCAGAATCAGAATCAGAATCAGAATCAGAATCATTTTTATTGCCAACGTAAGTAACGGGAGGTCACAGACTTGGAAATTGCTTTGGCTCAGTGCAACAGTCAAAAAGAGATAATAAAAATAAGAATAAAAAACTTCTAAAGAATAAATTTAAATTTAAAATAGAGTTACAGTTACTATTTAGAATATACAAGTGCACATGGTGCACACAATGTAAGGTGACAGCAGTACAGTGAAGTAAAGTGACGTATGATGGGCAGTAAAGTGACTTTATAAAGGGCGGGGGGACAGGTTAAGAAGTGTTCAAGAGTCCAACAGCAGAGGGGAAGAAACTGTTCTTGTGGCGGGAGGTTCTAGTCCTGATGGACCGCAGCCTCCTGCCTGAGGGGAGTGGTTGGAATAGTCCATGTGCAGGCTGAGAGGGGTCGGCTGTGATACGACCAGCCCGGCCTCGAGCTCGGGCGACGTACAGGTCCTGCAGCGATGGAAGGCTGCGGCCGATCACTTCCTCTGCAGAGCGCACAATGCGCTGTAGTCTCTGTTTGTCCCTGACGGTGGCTCCAGCGAACCACACGGTGACGGAGGAGGTGAGGATGGACTCGATGATGGCCGTTTAGAACTGCACCAACATCTGTGCAGGCAGCTTGGCTTTCCTGAGCTGCCGCAGGAAGTACATCCTCTGCTGGGCCTTCTTGATGAGGGAGCTGATGGTCGGCTCCCACTTGAGGTCCTGGGTGATGGTGGTGCCCAGGAAACGGAAGGACTCCACAGAGGTGATGGGGGAGTCCATCACGGAGGGTGGGGGTGGGGGGACAGTGCTCTTCCTGAAGTCCACAATCATCTCCACTGTCTTCTGGGCGTTCAGCTCCAGGTTGTTACCACTGCACCAGGACACCAGCCGGTCCACCTCCCTCCTGTAGGCAGACTCATCGTTGTTGGAGATGAGTCCAATGAGGGTGGTGTCGTCCGCGAACTTGATCAGCTTCACGGAGTCGTGGCTGGAGGTGCAGTGGTTGGTGTACAGGGAGAAGAGCAGGGGAGAAAGAACACAGCCCTGTGGGGCTCTTGTATTTATAATCCGAGAGAGTCCGAGACATTCTTCCCCAGACGCACTCGCTGCTTCCTGTCCGTCAGGAAGTCAGTGATCCACCTGCAGGTGGAATCGGGCACGTTGAGCTGGGAGAGCTTGTCCTGGAGCAGGGATGGCAGGATTGTGTTGAAGGCAGAGCTGAAGTCCAC